CAAGTGCTCGGCAGCGCGCAGGCAGCGCAGAGGCTGCCTTCCTGCGCCATCGAGCTCCAGAAATCTTGCGCATAGCTGGACATGTGCTGGCTCAATGTGGCCGTTGGAACTGGGCGAGGCCACTGGGAGGCTTCATGGGCCAGCAAAGCCTGACGCCAGGCGTCGAAGCCTCCATGAGAGACCAGGTGTTGTTGCCAGGCAGCGTCATTGGGAAAGAGCGTCTCGCACAGAGGGCACCGGTGCTTCGCACACGCCACATGGATGTCGGCATCCGAAGACTGCAGGCAATGACTGGTCGGTAGGTCTGAAGGAAAATGCCGTGGTGCGCGCGCTGCAGGCGCAAGAGCGTTGGTGAAGGCAATCTTGTCGAAGTGGAACTTCTCATCGATGTCAGCAAAGACGTTACCACAGTACAGATTGCGCAGATTCTGCCAAGCCTCTTCCAGTGCCGCAATGTCAGCGGGGGGAGAAAGGAGAAGTGCTTCTACGTCAAGTCGGGCTGCAACACAGGGGTCACGGGCAAATGCCAATTGCGGCCGAATTTATGGCAAACAATGGGCGGCGCAGCAGTGCCAGGAAGAAATTCCGCTGTGAACGAGGCCCAAACTCGCTGAAAGATCTGCTTTGTAGAGTTTGCGTGTGAAAGACACGGCGCAGTCACAAAACGGCGTGCCAATGCCTGGAAGTCAACGACAGGGCGCTGTATTTCTGCAGGCAGGCCCCACGCTTGATTCCAAGCCCAAACCTCGGCAGCGGCATCAGGCCCAATGATCACGAGTTGCTTGAGGCGTTGGCGCACGGTGGCCAAGTCTAGAGCTTGGGATCGGACATCGGGAGATGCGAGAAGGTCTTCTATTGCCAATGTTGCACGAAAGAACAACCGAACCGGCAACTTAAGTTCCAGCCGGGCTGTGCCACAGCGCCGTTGTATGCGCATCTGCGCAGTGCTTTGCTCTTCTTGTTGGTATGTAAACTCAAAGGCAGACATAATCTCATGAAATTGGCCTCGCTGCCAATGCTCCGAAGCAAAGAAGGGGTGGGCTGCCAGCATCTGAAGTTCTTGTACAGCTTCTGACATCCTGGAGGCCACAATCTTTGGACGATAGCGCTGTTGTCGATAGATGACCAGCAAAGAAGACATGGCGGCTGTCTCACAAGCAAGCAAGGGGTGGGGTCTGTGACTACGTGAAAGGTCGTGTCTAAAGCATCAGAGGACAGGAAGCTGCTGTTGCCGGGCCCTTAGTAGGGCCCCAGTCGGTGGCACAAGAAATCGCAGGCTAGAGTCCGCGACCGGCAGCGGGCACGCATCACGAATGCTTGCAGCTGACATGACGCTCCTGCTGCAAAGACAGTCGGCTTCTTTTCCGAAAGCAGCGCGGCACCTCGAATGATTTCGTCTCTGCTGAATTTGATGCAACAAGAGAAAATGCGTGGGGAAGTGGTTGGCGAGGCAGCGGAGTGTCTTATGCACCTTCTGAAGGGTGTGTGCTGTCAGGCTTGGGAGTGTCCCTGCAAAGTGACGCTTGCTACAATTTCATGGCGGCTTCCGACAAACAATTTCAGAGCTGCTACGAGAAAGTGAGACTGTCTGACAATCAAGCTTGGCTTCCGACAAACAATTTCATAGCTGCTACGAGAAAGTGACACTTACTGACAATCAAGCTTCAAATGGTTTGAGACTGACCCTGTGGCAACATTGTGTCGGCGACAATCGCTGCAAATTTCGTCACTGCTGTGCATCTTGCTTTCATTGTGGGTATCCGTTTTGGGATTGTTTGACAGGCACCTCAGGAAGCGCTGCCAGGTAGTCAAGCATGGAAAATTCGAACGGCTCCTGTCAGGGCCACACTGTGCGTGTGGCTTGTCTTGAGGGTATCCTTCTTGGGGGGGTGGTTTGAAGGGAACCCAAGGAAAAGAAAAGCTTTAAGGCGCACCCAATACTTGGAGAACAACCTCGGCAACGAATCGGCGATGATCACAATTGTGAGCCTCGGCCTCGTTCTTCTCCATCGGCCTGTGAAAGCACCTGAGGAAGCGCTGCCAGGTAGTCAAGCATGGAAAACTGGAACGGCTCGTGTCAGGGCCACACTGTGCGTGTGGCTTGTCTTGAGGGTATCTTTTTTTGGGGGGGTGGTTTGAAGGGAACCCAAGGAAAAGAAAAGCTTTAAGGCGTACCCAATACTTGGAGAACAACCTCGGCAACGAATCGGCGATGATCAAAGTTGTGCGCCTCGGCCTCGTTCTTCTCCATCGGCCTGTGAAAGCACCTCAAGGAAGCGCTGCCAGGTAGGCAAGCATGGAAAACTCGAACGGCTCGTGTCAGGGCCACACTGTGCGTGTGGCTTGTCTTGAGGGTATCTTTTTTGCGGGGGGTGGTTTGAAGGGAACCCAAGGAAAACAACAGCTTGAAGGCGCACCCTATACTTGGAGAACAACCTCGGCAACGAATCGGCGAGGATCAAAGTTGTGCGCCTCGGCCTCGTTCTTCTCCATCGGCCTGTGAAAGAACCCAGGCTCAAAAACATGTTTGCGGGGGTTGCTCTCGGCCTGGTTTCCCTTTATCATCCAAAAAGGTCTTTGATTTTAACCTGCGCATCTGCCAAGGCTAGGTTCTCCCACGCGCACTCATCATAGGTAGAGCCTTGAGTATGGTCTGCACAGCACTGAGGCCAGGAAATGCGACGGACAGGGTCGAGACACTGAGTGCCGGGCACGTGTCAGCGTTGCTATCCCACAGGGAAAAGCATTCAGCTTCTGCCTTCGATCACAGGCTCTGTCAAGGCAGTTCTCACTTTAAGCAGTCATAGACAGTCAGTGTGGGTATCCGTTTTGGGATTGTTTTACAGGCACCTCAGGAAGCGCTGCCAGGTAATCAAGCATGGAAAATTCGAACGGCTCCTGTCAGGGCCACGCTGTGCGTGTGGCTTGTCTTGAGGGTATCCTTCTTGGGGGGGTGGTTTGAAGGGAACCCAAGGAAAAGAAAAGCTTTAAGGCGTACCCAATACTTGGAGAACAACCTCGGCAACGAATCGGCGATGATCAAAGTTGTGCGCCTCGGCCTCGTTCTTCTCCATCGGCCTGTGAAAGCACCTCAAGGAAGCGCTGCCAGGTAGTCAAGCATGGAAAACTCGAACGGCTCGTGTCAGGGCCACACTGTGCGTGTGGCTTGTCTTGAGGGTATCTTTTTTGCGGGGGGTGGTTTGAAGGGAACCCAAGGAAAACAAAAGCTTGAAGGCGCACCCTATACTTGGAGAACAACCTCGGCAACGAATCGGCGAGGATCAAAGTTGTGCGCCTCGGCCTCGTTCTTCTCCATCGGCCTGTGAAAGAACCCAGGCTCAAAAACATGTTTGCGGGGGTTGCTCTCGGCCTGGTTTCCCTTTATCATCCAAAAAGGTCTTTGATTTTAACCTGCGCATCTGCCAAGGCTAGGTTCTCCCACGCGCACTCATCATAGGTAGAGCCTCGAGTATGGTCTGCACAGCACTTTCGAGACACTGAGTGCACCAGCGTTGCAGGGAAGCATTCAGCTTCTGCCTTCGATCACAGGCTCTGTCAAGTTCTCAAGGCATCATAGACAGAAAATTGCCAGAGTCACGGCTCCTGTCAGGGCCACACTGTGCGTGTGGCTTGTCTTGAGGGTATCCTTCTTGGGGGGGTGGTGTGAAGGGAATCCAAGGATAAGAAAAGCTTTTAAGGCGTACCCAATACTTGCAGAACAACCTCGGCAACGAATCGGCGATGATCACAATTGTGAGCCTCGGCCTCGTTCTTCTCCATCAGCCTGTGAAAGCACCTCAGGAAGCGCTGCCAGGTAGTCAAGCATGGAAAACTCGAACGGCTCGTGTCCTATACTTGGAGAGCAACCGCGGCAGCAGAGCACTTGCGCCCTGAGCTCCAAGCCGTTCTGGCTCGGAATGGAGCGCCAGGTCCGCCCCTCGAAACCTAAAAAGGACGCCAATGCTGGTGTGTCTGTGTGTCAGCAGATCCCATCCCATCTGTCCATTTGGGGCCCAAACCGCCGCCGCAGCTTCTGCAACAGCTCTGCATTTGCCATTGCCATAGCTATCGCACAGCCCATGCATGGACCTGAGAAAAACGTGGGAAGTACGCTGACAGGGACAAACCATTGAGTCACTAGTTTGAAAAGTGCCAAACTCTGATGCGCTGCCAAATCAAGGTCCGAACTGTTCCCTGGGTTGAGCCAGAAATGCAACTGCAAGAACCGGAGAGTTGAAACTCTATGAGTTGCAGAAACCCAAACCGCCGCCGCAGCTTCTGTAAAAGCTCTTCATTTGCCATTGCCACAGCTATCGCACAGCCCATGTATGGACCTGAGAAAAATGTGGGAATTACGCTGACAGGGACAAACGATTGAGTCACGAGTTTGAAAAGTGCCAAACTCTGATGCGCTGCCAAATCAAGATCCTAACTGTTCCCTGGGTTGAGCCATAACTGCAACTGCAAGAACCGGAGAGTTGAAACTCTATGAGTTGCAGAAACCCAAAAAGCCAGCCGTTCTGTCTTGAGGTCCCTGATGCTCTCTCTCCTACGAGCGAGCTTCAGGTTGGCATCCCGGCTCGCATACTGGCTGGACCCCGCACTTGAGCAAACACTCATCCTGCGTGCTGAAAATTGACCTCTGAGCTCTTAGCCGTGGCCTCTGAAGTATACGGGGGCGGAGGGGGGGGGGGGAGGGGGGGGGGAGGAGCGGGGGGGGGGAGGGGGGGGGGGAGGGGAGGGGGAGGGGGGGGGGGGGGGGGGGGGGTGGGGGGGGGGGGGGGGGGGGTTCAAAATTATTGATACGATCAATAAGTGGAGGGCCGTCAGCCCCCCAAGACCTTGCTAAAGCAAGAAAAGACTCCAGCTAGCAAGCTAGCTTTCGTGATTTGATTCCATTTGGGTGTGTAACATTGCCCTTGCTTTGTTGATTTTACAATCGTTCCATACTTTGGAAGATCAAACCGAAAATCGCAGAGCGCAGGCTACTTTGCATCTGCCTTGAGCATCTGCAAGGATGAACGCCACCGCGAACTTCTGAGCAGGATGGTGGCGCTGGTCAGGTCGCTTCGCAAGTCCCGGTAGCCATCCTTAGTTTGCTCGAAGATGGTTCTCCCAAGCGATGGCCATGGGCCCTTTTTGAGATACATTTCAACAGTCTTAGAGTCTTACAAAGGCAGCACAAGGCAGCCACTATTTGCCTTAAGAACAATGCATATATTTGACAACGCCCCATGGATAGTCAATCCTTGGTTTGGGGCGTGGGCAGGTATCCAGAGGGTTTCAGAGAGGCTCCAAAAAGTTTCCGGATACTCCGTGGCCTGGCGAGTTGCGCGCCGAGACTATGCTCAAAATGACCTAACACACTGTAGTCCGATTGCCAGGGGTCTGACGGCAAATTACACCAACACCTGGGCCAATTCCAGGGTGCAATATGCAGATTGGCCAGTTGGAAGTAGAGTGCCAAAAGGGAAGGGACAGCCAAAAAGTTTCCGGATACTCCGTGGCCTGGCGAGTTGCGCGCCGAGACTATGCTCAAAATGACCTAACACACTGTAGTCCGATTGCCAGGGGTCTGACGGCAAATTACACCAACACCTGGGCCAATTCCAGGGTGCAATATGCAGATTGGCCAGTTGGAAGTAGAGTGCCAAAAGGGAAGGGACAGCCTGCAACCATGTGCGCAAGTCCTCGGCTTGCAATATGTGGATGTGTTTGGTTTTTGTTTTTGTTTTTTTGCCCCCTTCAAACCTACCAAGCAAACTGTACCGACTCTTAAAGACCACTACTCCCCCATTTTCGACCCTTGCCACGGCGAGAGGCAAAGATCCCCAAAGCCTCTGCCCAGCGCAAGGCCCCGCAAGCGCTCATGCTGCTGTTCAGCCTGGGATGGGGCCCAATGGTCTGACAAGATATGGGAATATGACTCCATTTGTACTTGAGAAGCAGGGAACGAAAGCCAGCGTGTGGCAACGTATCGGCGCGTCTGTGGTCAGTTCTGGCCTCCGCTCATGCCATCTCATCGTTTGTCGTTTCGCCTGTGCCTCTTGCAAGCCAATCTGGTCCTACAACATAGGACTTACCCCAGTAAAACGCCAGGTCCTACAACATAGGACTTACCCCATTAAAACTCCAAGCCCTGGGGAAGTTTCGCTTTTACAGCCATGTAGCCGAAGTTAGCCTCTAAAAAGGCGATTGAAATCATCTGAGTCGTTTCCGAAGGGTGTCATACTCGCGCCAAGCAAAATACAGAACCTGATCCAATACCCACAGCCCACAATCTGCATCGACAATCCACGCAACCCATATTCTGCAGCCCGCAAGCTGCGTGAGCTAATCCGTAAACCGCACAATCCGCAACTCGCAAATCAATGCTGCTTCCAATCAAAGACGGCCCTGGGATTCAAACTGAACAAAGCGCATTGTTCATCTTTAATCTGTTGGGAAGCGCGTAGTGGGTAAAGTAGCGGGTAAAGGCTTCAGTGTTTAGACAGGTGTCATTAAGAACGAACAAAGCGCATTGTTCATCTTAATCTTTAGGGGAACGCGTAGTGGGTAAAAGCTTCAGTGTTTGAACAGGTGCGTGGGGTTCTCTTGAACCAAAGATGGCCCTGGGATTAAGAACGAACAAAGCGCATTGTTCATCTGTGAACTTTTGGGAAGCGCGTAGTGGAAAAAGCTTCAGTGCTCAAACGGGTGTCTTTTGGGAAGCGCGTAGTAGGTAAAAGCTTCAGTGCTCAAACAGGTGCGCGGGGCCTCTCGAATCAAAGATGGCCCTGGGATTAGAATGAACAAAGCGCATTGTTCATCTTTAATGTTTAGGGAAGTGCGTAGTGGGTAAAGTAGCGGGAAAAAGCTTCAGTGCTTAAACAGGTGTGATTAAGAACGAACAAAGCGCATTGTTCATCTCAATCTTTAGGGGAACGCGTAGTGGGTAAAAGCTTCAGTGTTTGAACAAGTGCGCGGGGTCTCTCGAATCAAAGATGGCCCTGGGGTTATCGCTTAGGATTCCTGCGTTCCACATTGAGCAACTAGAACTGACGCGTTTTGCTTTACAATGGATGGGTGGCGTTGACTATTTGGTCTGCGAATCAAAGTTCGAGCATCTATTGACACCGAATGAGCCAATGGAAACAGAACAGTCGACTACCCCCCAGCGGAGGTGGTCCAGGGTGGGTTCGAGCTCATTGGGCGTGCCTGATATATCATGGGGGCCCTCCCCCCTCCCCCCAACAGGCAACTCTGACAAACAAGGAAGTGGGGGGGGTTTGGCCTGATACATCAAGTCTTTTGGGGGGGGGGAGGGGGGGGTGAGCGCCCCCCCTCCACGACCCTGACAACCAGTGAGAATTCAGCAATGCCTAACTCAAGCTTTTCGACCGCCCCTTCTCAGCAAGCTGAGGTAAACGAAAACTTCAGCCTAGCTCCAAGGAGCTAGCTTTCGTGACCTTCTTTCGGTACACATGTGTGGAATGTCCACCTATCAAAAACAAACTACCCCGAAATATGTCCAACTTTTTCCAAAAATGCAATAATAAATTCAAACACAAATTACCCTTGATAAAGCTCTTTTTTTCCACCAAGAACAATACATATGGAGCAAACACACATCTTGAAGAACACTATCAACAAATATCACCGCGACATGGACTCGAATGCATTGTCCATGCCTCGGCTGACACAAACCTTGATGAATTCCCTTCAGCGTAGCTAATTTTGATTCAGAGTCAGTGCCATTGGCTCCAAATCAGCCTCTTTATTCAGGGAGGGTCTAGGCCCGGATTATCATTTTGCATGCGTTGTCAGCCCGACCTGCATGCAACAAGCAATGGCCACCTCCTTCGTGAAATTGTTTTCATAAAATCCTTTAATATCAACCGTTGACCCTGGCGACAAGGCTACTCCTCATGAAAACTCATTCGCCAAAAAATATCAGACCCTAAATAAAGCTAAGCAAATCCCCACTACCCCCAAACATATATAATCTCTGTTGCTTACAATCAGGGCAAGGTCCTTTCAATTGGGCTCATCATAAGTGCGATTCCAATTATCCTTGCAGATTCCCAAATTATTTCATTCGTTTCCTTATGTAAATCCCTTCGAGAATCAACCCTTGACCCTGGCAACAAGGCTATCTGCCTTAATCCCAGACCCTAAATAAAGCTAAGCAAGGTCCCACTAACCCCCATTTGTTTGTCCCAATAATAAATTAGTATTCCAATGCAAAAATCCATCCCCTTCAAAAAATGCGCAATACTAACTTAGAATTGACCGAAAACCTAAATTACACAAACACATGCCCAATACCACTTTAGAATTGGCCCAATTCTAAACTAGTATTCGAACACAAAAAACAGAGCTCAATACTAAACAGATTCTAAACTTTACCTGACCCTGAAATTCCCCACCTTAACTTTATTTGAGGGCAATCGGGGGTGCTATTTATGAATCGGAGGTAGACATTGTATGTACATAACTATGGACAGAGAGAGAGAGAGAGAGAGAGAGAGAGAGAGCAATATGGATACGTATTACATGCGGAGAACTGTCTACGATGATGGGGCTGATAGATTCGGTTGTTCAATTGTAAATGTGCATGCATCAGCTGGCGCGCCGGTCTAACATAGGCCCCTGTTCTCAGCGCCTTTGAAGTGAACAAATGCCTTGGACCCTGAGCCCATCTCCACTGACCCTCACTGAGCGGCGTGGCTGCAGTCCTTTGTATGCCGTACAGGGTGAAGTCAACCAGCAGCTGGCGGGCAAAGAGCCATCGCTTGCTCTTGGCACAGGCATTGATCCTCGTTTGGCCAATGGATCTCTCTCACCTCCAACTACATGCTGAGAAGCCCAGTCGGATCCTAATGGCCTAAGCCAACACAAAACCCAGAGTAAACTCACAAGGATCCAACCCACATGCCAGCCGTATCCTGCGCCAGCCCCAATCTAGCCCTAGGCTCTCAAATGCCAACTTCGCCAACGCGAACCCCCCGGAAGAGCCTCGACACCAACAGGGACTGCATCTGACTGCAATCCCACCTTGGGCCTCTCACATTTCCAACATGAGAGTGGAAACCCGCATGCCAGCACAGCTTTGAAAAACAACGACCTGCTTCTGTCCGGCCAAGGCCAGCACAAATTGCCCATATGTCCAGGTCATTTATGACCTGATAAGCTGATACAGCTAGTATCCGGCCAACACAGGGTTCTCAGTGAAGCCCCCAGTCTTCGGTTGGTCCACCTGTTAAACCTGGAACCAAATCGCCTGTGATGGCTTGAATTGAGGCGGCTCGATCCCCCATGCTTTCCATTCTATAATTCCTAGAAGGACGCGTGCAAGGTGAATCCCCGACGGCCACAGGAAGCCAATAGGGAACAACCCGACAGACTTGCATTTCCTACAATCGAATATCGCCTTGCCACCAACTCAAGGCTCCCTACATTTCCCTCGCAAGCAGCACTGCTGGAAACTCACTTATGGCTGGCCTTTCCAAAATTCACCCCGGTACATTCAGAGGAAAAAGACGCTGGGAGATGCAAATTGCCCGAGATGAGCTGCAGGACATTCATCACCACCGCGTCCGGCTGCAAGCGTCCGGCTGCGAAGACCTGACGAGGATAAAGCATTCGAAGGGGTTGGGGTACCAAAAATCTACATGTCATGGCCATGGAAAATAATCATAGTGCTTGTTCGACCCTTAATCCCTGCAAAAGTCGCGTCTTTAGAAATGGTGCTTTTTGGGGGGCTCCAAGTGAATCTGCAAGGAAGCGCCTTGACTGTGATTTAAATTGGTGACCCACATGCTGAACCATTGTTATGGGGTTTATTTGTTTCCAGCCCTATTGAGTTTGCTTTTTTAAGGCTTGAAGAGCGTGTTCTCGGCAAAGGTCCAAAACCACTACCACAAGTTGCAGCGACCTACCTGCGCCCTTTCTCTTAACACACCTGTTTGCCCTGCACTCTTCCAGGAGCAACGTTACTCTGCTTCCAGGCATGAGATGGCTTCTCAAAATGAGTTGTGAAACCCCCTTTTGGAGTCCCTTCTGGTTGGCATTTAAAGGGGAAATCAAAAGGACGCCAACCACTTCAGGGGATCCCTGTTTGACAGCACAGCAGGCTTTGGGAAGACTATCATCTCAAAACCGCCTCTCCACTGACCCTTTTCTTGGTTTAATGTTTGATGCCATGGTTCTTTTGCGGGAGGAAGTGCGACGGCTGAACCTGAAGCCCATACCCCGTGACTCGGCACCCAGCCAGGACACGCGAAAAGTGTGCATCGAGCACCGCCATCGCCCATCCTGGCTGGGCACCAAGAGCTGGTCAGCAAACTGAGGCGACAATTCTCACGAGTCTGCTGAGCTCACTAGCTTTGGCACCGGGCCCCGCCTTCGCCAGAGCTTGCAGGGCCTTGCTGGCTGCCACAGCATCGCTGGGCTGAAGGTGGTCATTGTGTACGCGGCCTCTGGCCATTGCGATTCGACCTGCCAGTGTCAGCATGAAGAACTCCACCAGTAGAGTGGGGCATGGAAAGGAGTGCGAGAATGCATGGTCCATACCTTGTCCAGTGCTTCCGGGAATGCCAGTTGTATCTAACTTTTGAGTAACCAGAGAAAGCCAGCATGCAAATCCTAGATCTAAGAATCTTGGTTGCCTAAGCGGTAGCTGGAAGGGTTCGGCTATGGCTACCCAATCGGCATCGCCATATGACCAAGGCGGACCCCAGTAGCTCGAAGATTTACCCCAAGGAAGCGCTGCAATCAAGCGGCCGTTCGTGTCGGTTCATGGCGCAGCGCAAGTTGCCGCATCCATCTCACCATCTCGCTGCGCAAGCGGGGCTTATCAGCGGTTCCCTTTTTGATGGTAACCCGTTTTGGGCGTTTTAAAGGGACATCGAAGGAAAGACCACCATTTTGTGGGTATGAGCCTACTTGGGCCACACTGCGAGCCCTGACGTGCCCCTTTGCCACCATGGACTTGGCTCAACGCACCCCGTTTTGCCAACGTCGCCCAAAAACGAACAAACGAGAAACACATCCTGGATCGGCTTCGGACATGAGGGCGCCAGCCACGGCATTTTCTTTTGCGCACCTTGGATCGCGGCCAAAGCTTTGGCCGAGCTTTCCCTGTACGTGCGCACCTAGCGAAACATCCGGCCCTTCGTGTTTTTTTCGCCGGGGTTTCGGCCGAGGCTCTGAAGACACCCTGCCAGGCTATAGCCAAGGTCTGGAAGCTCTCAAAAAATTGCAATCCTAGTGAAAGGGGGTTACAAGGGGCCCAGATTAATGAAGCGGTTCTATGAATAGAAGGTGTTACCCTCCAATAGTGATGAAGGGACACCCCCCTCTCCATCCTCCGGGGTTCCCTTTGCCGGAGTGACTCTGGGACTACTAACTTAGCGAACATCCCGGAACATCGAACAGATCCATCCAGTTGAGATGCCTGCAGGGCGCCTCCCAGTCGCTCAGGCTATGTACATGTTCCTTTTTCAGAATTCCGACCCTGCGTTTTGGAGGCCAAAATATCTCCATTCTGCATCCTACCTTGATAGCAGGTAGCCAGGAAAAGCATCAAAGAAAGTCTGGAGGTGATCCTTTTTCGTGGTTATCTTTTGTGGCTCGGCTGGATCTGGGCAGGCGGTGTGGACCTAAGGCCATCAGAACTTCAGCCACTCGTCCTCATTGCTGTCTAGGTCCTTCGGGTTCAAACAACTGGACCTGCCCTTTCAAAGGAACAACAAAAGGAGGCTGTTCAAACTCCACATGGGGGGGTTGTCAAAAATGGTAGCCCCTTCGAACAGCAACAGTGCTCAAAAAGAGTCCATACTTTTGACAACCCCCCCCCCCGCCCGTAAGTGTGTCCTTGTTTGTGCATACCCTTTCTGAGGGTGGTTGAAGGGACATGTTCCAGCGAAACTGCCATGTTCAAATATTTTACATCCTTACCCAATCCTGATAGCTCCTTGTCTCCCTCTTTTAAGCTAAGTTTGGATACTCCTTGGCCCCCTTCCAGCCAACAGCTACTGACTCCCCCCCATTGCCATGTTTAAACCGTGTGGCCGCTCCTTCTCCCTCGGCTCGCGCTCGCGCTCGCGCGAGGCGCGAACGGCCGTCGGCTCGCCCATCGCGGAGCCCAAAGCGCCGCCGAAGAGCTGCGCGAGGTCCATGGAGTCGTCCGCCTTCGGACAGACTGGACGTGGGGGTGGGACGGGTTCTGGTTTTTGACTATCCCAGGGTGGCCTTAAAATCAGGGGCTTCAAAATTTGGGAAATCAGCCACCGCTCTGTTTAAGCTTTCCTTCCGTCAAAAATTCGGAACCCGTACAATTTGAATGATCAAGTCATTTCGGCAGAATGGTAGACCCACATCACGGGGCGTGGGTCCATGTCCATTCCGTGCGCCTGGCTAGCTGATTGCTATCCGGATATTTACCGAAGCCTGCTGGTTTGAAGGCATCAAAGTCTTTCTTCTCAACGCCGGCTTGACCACACCTTAAGTCCCGGCTACCACATTGACCTCAACACGGAAATTGATCCAAAGTCTCTCAGTCGCACCTCCGGAAGGTGCAAGAACTCATCATGCAGACATGAATCCGATTCGCCGGGAATAGTGGAAATTGCCAATGGAATTATAATGAACGAAACCAATTACCTACCCACCCCCACCGCCACCCCCACCCACCCAACATACTACACACATGTATGCTTAAAACGGTATTTCCCAGAACAAGCATAGTTTGTGTTGTTTCTCTATCTCTCTCACTCTCTCACTCACTCACTCACTCACTCACCCACCCACCCACCCACCCACCCACCCACCCACTCACTCACTCACTCACTCACTCACTCACTCACTCACTCACTCACTAACTCACTCACTCACTCACTCACTCACTCACTCACTCACTCACTCACTCACTCACTGACTCACCAAGCCGTGCGAGAAGTTTACTACCACTCTCACCATTGAATCTGTTTCCTTTAGTCAAGGTCCCAGCCATCCCAATGGAGCTCCCAACCCCCACCCCCTCCACTCAAAAATCCCTCTGCTTAGGCCATTTCACGCCTGGAAGCTCACCGCGTTCTCCGGGAGCTCAGGTCTTAAGATCTCCAGGCGCCTTCGCGCCACCACGTGGCCTGAACGCAGCGCTGCGTTCGTCTCCGCCGCTTGTGCGGATCCCTTAGACGCGTAGGCGTAGAACCGGAGCTGCGGACACATCCAGATGGGGACCGTCTGGGGCAAATGGGTGGAGGTCTCCTTTGCAATGAACGAACATGCCAGAGCAAAATTAACACCTGGATCGCCAAGTTGCTGTTTTTTCCCAAACACTGTACCGTTCAGACAGTCGCAGCTGCTGGGAGAAAAAAAAGACAACTTGCCCGATCCAGGCGCCACCAAAAAGAAACACGTAAAAACTATAAGCAACATTTTTTCTTCGGCGCGTCGGAGAAAAGAGAATCAACGACAGCCTGAGGCTCTGCGTAGGACAGCCACGAGGGCTCCTCCCGCTCCCTTGGGCTTTCCGGCGAGGAGGGCCGCGGACGGGTCGGCCCGATGGACAGCCGCTTCTCGCTGAAGTGGCGCAGGGGTCGGCAAATCCGCATCTCCCGCTGCAGTGCCACAGCCCACTCCTCACCTTGCGGCTCCACAAGTGTGGCTTCCCCGAAAAAATGCCCCAAAACCGCCGGATGTGGGGCGGACTCCCCTTTTACAAGGGCAAGCATGTTCATGTTGTGTAGAACCCAAAACCCACTTTGTTGGCGGAATCCGCTTCAAACCCCAAAAGGTCTGTGGAGGAATCTCCTGCAACAAGGTCCCCAGCATCCTGTGAGCAGCGCCCAATATCTTATTGACGGTTGGTTCCACTAGCATGGTTAAGGTGTATATAGTATATAGTCTTTCCTATGAGCCCGATCCTCACCAATGGAAACTCAGTTTCAAAAAAAAAGAAGGAACACTTGCGAAGATGGCCCCCGTTACTTCAAATTGCTTAAGCACGCTCCCTGGAACAATCAAACATGTTTCCAGTGACAGGTTCCCTTTTATCGCCAGGGGAAGGTCCCTTTTCGGCAATTCATTCCATGGTAGGCACCAGGTGCCCAGTTGAGAAAAAGCATGTTAAGGGGTCCTGGGAGCTTCCATGGAATGGCCGGAAGGGTAAAACCCGGGGCCAGACAAGATGAACACATGAGAAACTGTTTGCTGGTTGAGGAGACAAATGAAGGACACACCAAAAGGCAAACAGACACAACAGGTACGCCTTTGGCCTAATGAAACTGTTCTTAAGCAACTGGAGGATGTGTAGGAACTTTTGGCGCTTTTCCCAGCGGCTTTGGCTAAGGCCCCGGCTGCTGGAGTCTGAGGTGAAGGAGTACAGCCCCAACGACCCGGCGCGGGTGGCCACGTACATCCAGGGGATGGGGGACTGCCGGGTGAAGAAGGCGCACTGAGGCATCAGGCCCTCCTGGGTTGAGTTGAAGTGAACAAATGATCGGATCAAATACCATATTGAAACTTGAACCCGGAGGTATTATTGGGGGTTTGCCTCCACGCGGACGAAATCCGGGCTTGTATCGACAAATGGGTGTGGACCCTTTTCATGAAATGGGTGGGATTGTCCAGTTGCTGGAACTATGACCTTGGAAAGGGAAACTTGACGTTCTTTAGTAGTGTGAATCTAAAGATGTTTAGCACAGTTCCCAGGATGCATCCAACAGCCAGCTGCTCTTCAAGGGTCCTCTAAATCTCTTAAGGGTGATTGCTCAATTGGCCCAGCTGGCATCCTAGGGACCCTCTAACCAGTTGAATCCCACCCTCCTGCAAGAGCACGGACCCCATGCGCACGCGAGTGCACACGGACAGCTTCACTGGGTCCCCAAGGGAGGGACCAGTCTTCAGGACCGCCCCTGGCTCTGACAAGCATTGCCTCCAGGGTGTGCATCGATTTGGAAGTTAACTGGCTACATGTCCATGGTGCCAGAGGGCTTGGTGCTTTGGAGTGGTTTGGAGGTTCGGACGTGGAAAACCATCGAAGACTGTAAACTCACTTCCCCAAAAGACCTAGAAAAACAAGGCTTACCTTTTGGGTCTTTACTAAAAGTGGATCAACAAGGGAAAACCAAAAGGTTTGAAGGACGATTCGCTGCGAACTACTGAGCAAAACTTTCAAGGTAACCTGATGGTGACCGCCAATTAAGGGTTGATCAGAAGGTCCTTTTCATGGGATGACCATTGGAGAGAACCACGACAAAAATGATACTTTCCGGGCCAGGAATAAAGCCAACAGGACAAATACTTAAGGGAGGTCCCCTTTAGGTCCCCTTTAAAACCAACAGGAAACATAGCACATTGAGGGAGGTGTTGGTGCTTAATTAAGTCCAAGCCGAGCATATTTTTGAAAGTCTTCGTATTTTGTTGGCCTGTGCGAGTGGAAGGGCGGGAGCTTGAAGACGTGGGTGGTGCCTTTGGCGCTACTCACCGCCACAAATTGGCCGTCGTCCGAGACCGCGAGGTCGCTGATCACGGCTGGGGTCACCCCGCGGGACAGCGTGAAGAGGTGTTGAAACCTGGCGCTTCCGTTTCGGTAGGCCTCCAATTGCGTTGTCGCCCCCTGGAAAAAATACGGCCAGGAGTGAAGTCGATTCCCTTCAAAACCGACGGGGGGCAATAAAACATATCCTTAAGCAAGCGGAAGTAGACGCAGGTACCCGGATAGCACCAAAAGGGGAAGGGGCCCCTTGGTTGTAAGTCTACTTGAGGCTGGTCCGACGCCCACGCGATTCCATCTCCCCCAAGGAAGCACCGTGAACACCAAGAGGACATGGCTGCTGTGAGGGAACTGGTGGCTTGGTGTTCAGGGTAGCTTCCCAGTTGCCGAGAACCAGGCCTTTGATGGTGGGTTAGCCCATGATTGCCGAAAGCAACCCTGTCTGTGATAACAAAATGGCTCCCCCTATGACCTTGATTACTTTGAAGGGGATGCTAAATGAATGGTTTCTACAACGATGGGCCAACGGAGAAAAATACAATAAGAGCGTGCTTTTGAGTTGGAATCCACTTTTGGTTGTCTTAAATGGAAACCAAAAGGAATCCACAGCTAGTGGTCTCCAAGACAAACCCGTAAACCTCCAGCTTGAAGCAGCCTCTTTTGGTATCCTCAATGGGAAGGCCAAAGTCTGAATGTTTCTTTAGAGTTTGCAGCCAAGAAGGGCCAAAAGGCGAATGGACAAATGTTGGAACCCGTCATAGGGGTGAAAGATGGGCATTGGCTTTTGGCTTCGCTTTCAGAACCCGAAGCGGGGGCTTCTTCCAACTCCAACAAAGGCACGCACGGTTAAATTCTGGAGTACAGAGGTTTAAAACCAGAATGTCGTCTGAATCGCGTCGGAAGTCAAATGATCGTACATTTGGGCGTGTCCTTTTTGGAGGCAGCCTTTTGGTTGAACTGCTCGGGAGATGAAAAGCCTCAAGGCCTCCAAAAACACAAAGGTGGAATGCTGGCTAGCTCAAGTGTTCGGTGAAACTAGATGGCACAACTCCCCCATGTTGACTCGCCATCCCCTTACCCACATCTACCGGGAATCGTGCCATCTAATTACTCACTTCCTCTGCTCACTGGCACCCATTTCGGACCGAAATGCCTGAGACTCCCCAGCTGGGCGTTCTCGTCCTGGCAGCAGCCCGAAAACATACCGACTGGGTTTCCCTGTAAACGTGGCAACGGATCGGGTCCATTTGTTCAAACAGATGAGCATTTGGCTGCCTCGGCTTGGTCATACCTGTTATTAACCTACTAACCCCCAGCTGGGGAGTAAAACCGACGCATCCTGGCCCAGATTTGAACCACTCGCATCAAGCCGACTTGAAACCCAGCTGTTGGTTTTCCAAGGCATCGGAGCCCGGCTGCCTTGTGGCTTCCATGGGCCCAGCCCCCTGACACCCAACCCCTTGGACCCTATTTGGCTGGTGACCCCCAGAAAATGCCGAAATCCGCCAAAACCAAAAGCAGACCGACCTATCGACCCCTCAGGGGGCTCTTTCCCCCCTCCCCCCCCGGGTCCTCGTAGGTCAAGGTGTCCCCCAAGCCCAAGACCGCGCGGTGCACCAGGATCTTGTGGCCCAAGGCACCGCAGGTCACCAGCTGAAGGCCTCCACGCCGATTCGATCGCTAGCCCGTGCGGGTGCCGCGGGTGTTTTTGGGGCATTCGCTTCGAAAGCGCACAGAGGGGCGAACGGGAAATGAAGGGAGGTTGGGTTGAGTTCAGGGCCTAAATGAGTTGATTTTCCCACATTTTTTGGAGTTGAATCTTAAATTAAAACTGCAAGCAAAACAACAGGTGTTTGTTTCAAAGCACGTCGTGTTTAACATCCTATTTTCCTGCCTGAAGGGTCCCAAACCATGCCCTCAATGGGCTCGGAGTGGTCCTCGAACTCGGAGATGATGCTCTGGCTGCTCACGTCCCTCACCGCGATGCTTCCGCTGTGGAGGCTCCCAGACGACGAGGACGTGGACAAGGTGTCCGGCACTGGCGGCATGAGCACCTGGTCCAAAGTCCGCTGGCCCACCTGGCGAGAAAACAGGATTAACAACAAAAAACACGGGGTCCCAAAGCTTTTAACGACTGCTCTGTGTATATATGTATATGAGGTTTATTCTTTGCGATGCGCAAAGGTATAGGTGTACTTCAACAGACATGCTAATTGAATGTGCAGTACACGGGTTTTGGACAGTTGCTGGAGGTGGTGCCTTGTTTCATTTGCGGTTTGCAAGAGCAGCTGGCGGTTTTGGTTGGCTCCGGCATCCCAGCCCTGGAAAAGACGAGCCCTCAAAACCACCGGGCCCCACTGGTCGCTTCTCAGTGGCCCAACCAAGAGAGATAGCGTTGAGGTCAAACAAACCCACATGAAGAACTTCTAAGGTGTTGCAGTCTGCCCAATCCTTGGCTCAGAATAGGCACAATGGCGGTTCTGACTCTTGACCTGTCCAACTTGCAGGGTCCCAACCTGATGCTTTTCGGGTGGAATAAATTCCGAACCATCCAAGTATGACCAGGATTCTCGACACCACAAAAAACAAGGGAAATCGGGGGCGCCCTGGAAAAGAGACAAAAGAAAGAAATGAAGAGGGATCGGCATCCACTCCAACCCCCTGCCTGGCCCAAGTACTGCAGCCCATCCTCGCATGCAAAGGACCCAGAAACAAAAGGCGACCACCTGTTGGCCCTTGACTAACAATGGGCCAACCAAGAATAGCAACAGTAGAAATAATAATAGCAATAATATAATGACAACAACAAAAGCACGAAGATATAGTAACAACAATAGTTTCTGGAGTAATGTTAGAAGAGCAAATAGTAATAAGAATAAGAATAATAAAGCACGTCAGCTCCGTCTGGCTCGTTTTTGGACGGATGTTTTCCTTCACCACGGTGGGGAGCTGTCTGCGTGGTGTGGCCACCGCCTCGTGGGGCGGCAGGTTGTAGGCGAGCCACCGGTGGCCCAAGGCGAAGGTGGGGCCCCCGGAGCCGTGGCACTGCACGCTGAAGAGCGCCTGGAACCGCAACGCGTCGTAGAGCTCCACCTGAAAAACATGGGCAGAAGGGAAGGGGGAAAAGCCCTACAAAATGGAGCGGGGGGGTGCACCTGGCAGAAGGGAAGGGGAAAAAAAGGCCCAAAAAATGGAGGGGGCGTGTGTGTCGGTTGTACTTTCTTTTTCAGGGGACCTCTCCCCCCAAATAGGTGGCTTTTTGGGCACCCACGAAAAATCAAGAGCCCCCGAAAACTGGGGTGTGTCTTTTTCTTGCTGATGAGTTGGAATAAGGGAATCCGCCCCTTCCGCTTCATTCCGAACACCCGAAAGGGTCATTCCTTTCTGAGCACCAGCAGTTTTTCGGGGGCCTCCAAAATAGGTGGTCTTCCTTTGGGTCCCCGATTGTTCGAGTTGGTATCTCTTCTTGTGGTTAAACAAGTCATGTTCAGTGATAGATTCCCTTACAAACCGACAGGGGAAACAACCCATACCCTTTAAGCACGTGGAAGGATTCGTATGTTAGTCAACATCCAAGTGCTACTTCAAAACATGCTCTCAGACCAGGGATGATGAACCTGCTTTAGGGAACCTCTCTTTGAAGAGGGAATCCCCAATGAATCCAGTGCTTATCCATCCGGGGTTGAGATTATTGGGATTGCCCAAACTTGGACCCCACCAAACTCTGTACACGTTCTTCGGAGGTCCAACGTCAACACCAGCTTCAGGCCATGCCCTCTCAAAAGATCCATATCTCCAAACTGCCCTGCGGAATGGGTGCGTAAGTAATTTCTTGTGGGATTTTGGGTACCCCTTTTGGAGGCCCTCCAAGATCTGGGTGCGAACCAGGTCTGGAACAACCCACTTTTGGATACCCTGCCCAAACAAGAAAGAAAACATAGGCCGACCAGAGCTCCCCGGGCCAGGCGGCCTGCTTGGCGAAGCCCACGGCCAAGTAGCGCCGGCTCGCCTGCAGACTCTTGGCATGCTCCGTGAGCCGCAGCAAATGCACGTCGTCGTGGGACTTCAGGGAGAAGAGTCGGACCAGGGCCGGGGAGCCTGGCGAATCCTAAAAGATGTATGTATGCATGTGCGTACGTACGTGCGTATGTATGTCATGTATGAAGGTATGAAGGCATATGTATTAAAACAAGCATACATACAAACACCTGTGTGCGGTGTGCATATCTCAATGTATACTGTGACTTCCATTTTTGAAACATTGATGAGCTAAAACCCCAGTTCCCATTACAATAAACAACAACACGTGGCCTTGCTAGAGACATATTGGCGCGCGTCAAGCCAGCTCCCTTCAAAAGGCTGCTTGGCTGGGTGCTCTTCCCCCCCTTTTTGGGTGCAATCGTGAGGGTGTCCCTGTTTCTATGCTTTTTTTGAGGGGAACCAAAGGGAACGCTGCCAAACAAACCCAGGTGTCCAAACCATCTGAGCTCAGAACTGGGCCAGCCTACGCACCTCACTCCACCCCAATCCGGAGACAGGTACCGCTTAGGCCGAGTGGCTATTTGCGGGTTGCGGGGGTTCTGAGGGGCTTGCAGGCACAACCAGGAAACTCTTGAGCGGATACCCTGGCCCTTTCTTGCAGTGTATCAGCAGATTTCCTCAAGGGTATGTGGCACCCTGGTTACAGACTTGTTGCAGGGTGGCACAATGTTTCCATCTGTAGTGGCAACGTGTTGCTGGGTCAGTGACATCCTCAAGATGACCATCTAAATTGTGGTTCAAAATTATGAAAGCATAAACGCTCCTGACCCCCCCCCTCCTGGGACAAAATGCGTGCCAAACTTAAAAAAAACGAAGGCGAGACCCATGACTAGTTTTAGGTGATCCCGTTGCAGAAAGTGGCCCACCAAACCGTGCCGAATTGTGTTACCAATCTTGTGTTGCCTTTTCTCAGTTGGATCAAGGGGTGGCTTAAACACACGGGCGTGTCTTCACACACACCTCAAAATTATTGTACTAACTTTGGTTTCCCCGAGAAGCCACAAAAAAAAGTATCCTCCCTCCCCCCCCCCCCCAAAAAAAAAAAAAAACAGAAAAAGCAACACAAGAAATCACCCACATTTTGTCACTCACCCAAGCCGTGTGCCTTTGTGCAGGTACGCCATGAGCGGTGCTGCGCTGAGACCCAAACAATCCCCAGGTTCGGCAGCCAGAGGCAGCGGCAGCAAACGCGCCTGGAGCACCGCCTTGTCCTGCGACCAAAGCTTGCGATTGCTGCGATAAGTCGGGAATGAGTTGGAATGAGCCCAGCGGTCCCCCAAGAAACCACCAGGATGGACAAAAGAAAACACACTCTGTGAGCACCAGCAAGAAAATGGCAGTGTCTCAAATTTGGGGGCCCCCAAAAAAGCCGGGGTTTTCCAGTGGGTTCGCTTTAAACCCACACCAGAAACCATGGACCCTCAAAAAAGGCCACCCCTAAATCAAAACGAAAATACGATCGGCACTGGTTGGTGCCATCGTTGAATTTGGTTAAGCCCTGTAACATATGTTTGGGATAAACTTGCATGAGCCACTTAGCAACGGGTGCAGGAATGTGTCCATCCACTGTAGGTCGTGGTCCTCGAAATGGTCAACATAGTATGTTCCCGCAAATGACGAGGAATACGAGCGACTCGTGGCCCTTTGGTTTTTTGTTGAACTTCAAAGTTCGTGCTTCATGTCCCATCCAAATGGACCGTGCGGGTCTTCTGACGGAACGGTAGGGTTTCAAAAAGGACACCCAGAAATGATAATTACCCAGCCAAATGAATTATCCCAAAGCAACTTTACTTTCTGGTTATGAATCTTAATACTGGACTTGCTACAACCCCCACTGAAACCAGCCTACTGCATGATTGATGCCCTTCAAAGCATGCCCTTCAAAGGATGCGCCTTTCCAAGCAAACCCTTGCCCTGTACCATCCTGATGTGCTATGATCTTGCCAGGGCGCAACCAGTTCAGTCACGAGAACACCACATTTTGAGCCATCCCAAAACAGCACGCCGTTTGAAGCTCATGGACTTCTCGCCGTCTGGCGAAACCGCCCCTTGACCTACCCAGATGCACTTCAGGATTAAGCCAAGGCCCCTTCTTGGACCGCAACGATTTCGCTGGGTCCGTTGGGCTTTGATATTTAGAGACAACGTTCTGAACTAATTTGGTGGACATGCATCCCCATGCAAATGATGTCCCAGGACAAATCCAAAGCTTGAGTGGCAACTTCCGCAGTCTCTCCTCGTCGCGTTCCAGAAAATGACTGAGAATGGGAAACAAATTGAAACAAATCAACCCCGCTCAGCGAGAAGGCCGACATAGCCCAAAGAAAAACGCACGTCACATGATAGGCCCAAAGGAAAACGCCAAATTTCAGCCACAACAATGGGTGTCCCCGTCAGGTTGGTAACTTTGGCTTCCCGAAAGCAGACCCGCCCCCCCAAATTGAAAAGCACTCATACTGCGGTGGACAAAATCCTGTACAAGTTGGTAGCTGTTTATCCCATTGCATCCCAGTGCTCAAAGGGCTTTCATCCATCCCAACTGGCGCAGGATTCAATCATTCTTGCCCCAAAGGACTGGGCATAATCGCAAAAACACATGAACTTTTTTGGAGACCATACTGACTGAAAAATGAACCTATTTTGGGGAAGACTGGAAAACTGTTTCCAGTAGTGATAGATTCCGTTTAAAACCAACAAGGGAAAATATAACATATTCATTTCAGCAACTGGAAGCCAATAATCGCAGGAAGTTTTGGACGCCATGGACTAACAAATGAACCAAAACGGGAGGAGCACCAGGTCGAAGGCTGCGCCTGTCCTGCTTCGAGACCAGCTCCTTGGCTGCCGTCGGGTCTTGTAGGTCCCAGATCTGGAACCCATCCGTGTAACCGATGACCAGCAACTGCCTCTGAGCCTCCTGCAGGGCTAACAGAACAACCACCCAAAACCAACAACAAAAAAGGCCAACCGCCTTCCCCCCCAAAAAAAACAATAAAGTAATAGCAAAATCAAAAAACGAAAACACAAACCAGCCCCCCCCCAAAAAAAAAAACAAAAAGAAAAAAAAGAACTGGTTCCGTCCTCCGGCCAAAACACCCGCTCCACCTTGAGCCAGGTGATGTGGCGCACCGCCTCCGAGATCTGGGGGCTCAGACCTGCGGCGTCCTTCACGGCATCTGGGATGTAGCCCGAGATCGAGGAGAACCTAGGCGAAGCCCTTTTTCATGGAGAATGGGCGTAAGGCACGGCTAGGGGTGGGGGTGGGGGATCTCAGGTAATCCTGTCAAACAGGGGGGTGTATGGGTTGGTGAATTTGGAAAATCAAATGGACTATACTCAGATACACCTGGGAGCAAAACACAATCAGATTCGGCACCGGAATTGCCCAGGTCTCCCCCCCCCCCGTCGCCGTGGATCCGACCCCCAGGGTTTCATGTCAGTGCAGACTCTGAACTGCACTGGATGGACAAAGTCCCCCCGGCACCGGCGACTAACCCAGGGCTTCATCCATGCCAATTGTCGCGAAGAGGATTTCCGGCATCAGCATACAGTTGTGGGGAATTGCACACGGGATACCATTGGAAAGCCTTCGAAAGATTTCGAAAGACTGTGGCGTGGGTATGGTCCACATGGCGAAATGGTATCTCTGAAAGGAGTGGTCAGAGTTTCGGCAATTGAGTGAAGGGAGAACTGATTCCATCTTGTGTCACATATGCCCTGGCCAGGATGGTTTAAAATTCACGACGAAGGATTCCGAAGCGATTGGCATTTTTAGGCCTGGGTTCCTGGTATATTCTCAGAAGCCCAGTGGCCATGGAAAAAGAAAAACAAGCAAAACACCCTTTTCAGGTTGGGTACTGCACAAGGCAAGCCAATTTCCAAACAACGGGAAAAGGGTGGAATCCACCAAGCAACCTGGTCTACCATTCTCACAAGCCACCACTATGATAGGTTTCAGTGAAACAGGATTCCTCAAAGGATACATCCTAAAACCACCCTGCTTCACAGCGGAATGGACATGTGTCATGTTCAATGACTTTGATCAGTGGCCCGAGCCCTCATCCTTTCGGGCCAAGTTCTGAGGGCCAATTTTCACCGTCCCCATGCGCAGCCGAGGGGCAACGAGCTGGCCACACTCATGGCAAAGGAGCCATTGCAACACGGCTGTGCGACAACTTTGAGTCTGCGCCTGTCTATTGGAAGTCTGACAGGGTCAGACTCTGTGTCAGACCCGATGTGTTTGGCCAAACCCGAGCTGCAACCTTGGGCACCGGTATTTTGCTGGGAAGCCACTACTAAGAGAGGTGATCGCAGCACACAATCAAGCAGTGAGCTCCTGGGCTTTGGAAAGTTGGGGAAAGGGCATGGAAATCTGATGGCCCCTGCAGCAACTTCAAAAAGATTGTCCTCCAACAAAGGGGTTTACACCTGCGATGGTTGTTGGGGGCACATGTCAACTCGCAGGAGGGCAAGCATCTATGGGAGGTTTGTATTCCCCCCTGCGAACCATCGGCTCAATCCTTTTGGTCTGAAAACACCGCCAGAGCGTCATACCAGGTGTGACATCCCAGGCTCTTTCATCGAAGAGCTTGACTCAGCCTTTTGCCCTGCGAGTGCTCCCGGTTGCCGGGCGCCCTTCTGGCTGACTTCGGAGTGGCTCACATCAGGCGAGCATGGCTAGCTCGCCTCCATGCTTCTGCCAGAGACAGGTACGCCTTTCGGACCAAGATGGAGCCAACATCCTTGGCAAATCTGGGCGATCATCTCCCCAAAGATCTTCAAACCCCGGGCCCATGCCCAGCTCCCAACTCCAAGCTCGATGGCCCCGGCCACAAAACTTGTGGCGGGCCGTGCTCTTCGGCATGCTGAACGGCAGCAAGGTCAGTTATGTTGGGCCAACACCAGCTGCCAGGAAAATGCGTTTGGCCCGCGCTTTCACCTCCTGGATCTCCGCGCGAGGCACGAAGCTGCTGGTGGTGCGAACTCGCATCAGGTCGGACAGCTTCTGCAGCTCCGTCCACTCCGATGGCGGCGGGTCCGGTGCGGCTCCGGCCCGCAAAAGCACGCTGACCGACATCCAATCCTCGTCCGACTCTGCCCCCACCTCATTTACTGGCACAACCTGTGACGCATACCTTGATGACTTCCCCGACACCTCAGGGAAGCGCAAAGAACGCGTGGCCCTCTTCTACGGATTCACAACAATAATCGATGCCAAGGAGTACAGGGCAACCAATGTTGATGAGTTTTGTCTTTTCAGAAAAGAAACAGGGCGTTGACTTTTTTGCAGCTTGTTTTGACCTGGATTTAGGTGCCCAAAAACAGGTTAACCTCTAAAAGTGAAAAAATCCTCAATCAAGCCATCCAACAAGAGAAGCGCAATTGTTGCATGCCCATTTTGAAGGGATGCCCCATCCTAAAAAAAGAAGTGAATGACCCCTATGAGACATCCCTGACTGCCCCTACAGGCCTCCCCAAACCCACTGGGTGATTTACTGGCAACTCCGCGAAAAGGCGCCTGACAAGTCTGCCACAGGAAGTGTGCGGCCACAGTGCGGAGCACGTTGTCTGCGACCAACACCCCCCCACAGGCCCTAGGACAAAGGCGAGTTGGCAGGACCAAGAGTGGCATCTGAGATCTGGAATTTGGCTGGATAATGGGTCCAATAGGGGGCAAAACAGGCTGAGGCCCCAAGGGTTTCAGTTTTTGCCCTATCCAGACTCACTTTGACTTGGTGTTTGAAGCGAGGGGAGGTCTGCCAAGGATCAAGAGCTTGAGGCGCTCGATCTGCTCCAAGTCTTCCGGATATTGAGAGCCCCAGCGGTCCATAAATATGACATCGAATCCAGCGGTTTGGCTCAGTCCTCAGTCGACCCATGCCTAAGGCCAGACTTGTGAATGGATCGCGGAATGCATCCTCCAAGTGTCTTTCCTTCATTCGCGGCAGGAGTCGTTGACTGTGACCGGTCCACACGCGGACCTTTTGCGCAAGGCCAGCTTGCGCCAGCACACCTCGAGGACCGCAATATATATATCACAACAGGACACCTCAGGCAAGACATTCTCTGCTTGCGCCCTTGGGCGTATCATTTTCGGGGAGTACTTTCTGCACAGAATCCGCCTTTCCGTTTCGGGGGTCCAATTCGAGACAACTTCCGTGTCAGGGTACAGCGTGCGATTGCCACCAGGACTGGGTCCATCTCCAGAGTGGTGACCTGAACGCGAAGGCAACATGCGCGTCAGGCGGAAATGTTGACTTAAACTACTCGTTGTAGCAAAGGGGAGGATGAAAGGCCCCTGTTCCTTCTCTGTTCTTTTTTTCTTCTTTTTTTGGGGGGGGGTGCGCCCTCCATACATTATACATTACTTCAGGGGTGGGGGTGTCCAAAGGCCAAAAAAACACCCAAGCTTCCTGACAAATCAACGAGAATCTGCACAATCCCCCCCCCTCCCACAGACTAAGGCGGTTGGGGGTTCCTGAGTTCCAGTCAGGCGACTGTTGCAGAGGTAGCGGCGGCCAGCGACACTGCGGAGTAGCCACAGTAGGTACCAATCCTTGGTGTCAGAGATCTGCAGGGTTGAAACGCTAAGTGCCAGCCTGCAACTACAACCAGCAGTCCGCTCTCTGCGCAGTTCCTGACCCTTTTCAGCCTACTTGCCATGAACGTCTTTTCAATGTCCGTGTCAAGCCCTCGCAGCCATGGTGACTTAGAAAACTGCCCCATTTGCCACGGAGAAACCTCCCAGCCCACCACCGCAAATGACCCAAAACAAAGTCACTTGGATGTCTAGGAATTCTGACTGGTTGGAAACCCTCAGTTTTTTCCCCCCAGTTGGCATCAGCACTGGATTCTGGGTTGAGCAAGCCTCGGTGCGTCAAGGGCACCTCTTATCTGTTCTGCTTCTAGTTTTTGGCGCAAAACACTGGGACACCAGCAATTCTCCTGGGAAAAAGTTGGGGACGCCAGCAATCTTACCCGGAAAAGGCAGGCAAACCAGCAATTTTACCCGGAAAAAGCAAACCCGCAATTTTGGCGGCTTTCCTGCCGGGTTTTCGGGGTACCCAACTCCAAACCGAAGCGGCTCGAGCACCGCGCCGCTGGACTTCGCCGCGCCCCGGGCCGCCGCCAGCAGCGCCTGAGCCTTGCTGCCCCCCGCAAACTTTGCCTCGGCGCTTCGGCCGGAGCGACGCGACTTGGGTGACGTTTGATGAGACTATAAGGCACACAAAAACAAAACAATAACAACAAACACCCTACTCAAAACACACACCAAAAACCGAACAAAGACAACTTGACCCAAGAAGGCCCAATTTTGACCCACAACCATGAGACTATAAGGCAAAGGTGGCGAGTGCAAGTTCCACCTCCCCTTAAGAATAGTTGGACTAGAAATGCCGAAGGTGGCGAAGGTGCCAGGAAATAGGACAACTAGACTTTTGGGGGGTTCAGGTCTCCTTTTCAGGTCACTTTGGCTGAAGATAGATGGCACTGCGTCAGCTTGATTCTGACCAATGGCCAGTGCCTCCCACTTTGTCCAAATGGACACATAGTGCGCATGGACAAAATCCGCTTCGCACGACCTGGGATTGGAGGGTTGCCCCAGTATTCATGAGGTGTTGTCCATTCCGACTGGTGCAGGATTTGGTCCATCCAAAGTGGTATTTAGTTTTTTTCCCAACGTAGTCATCTTAGCGAAGGACAATGGTATAGTGTAGAGTCAAACGTCGACCCAAACAATGCATGTCATGCATCATCAAAGTCAAATGACCACCGTTGCTTCCAAACAATCCATATCACATCGGCAAGGCAAACAGGGGATGTTTGGAGCAAGTCTGCAGGTCTTGGATGGGTTCTTTTGGAATTCCAGGATTAAGGTGGGTTAAAGGTCGGCTTAGGGTGATTGAGGGTTGGTTGAAGGTGGACTTTCGGTCGATATAAGGTTGGGTGTTTTGCCTGCTTGCTTGCTTGCTGGCTTGCTTGCTTGCTGCCTTGCAAGTTGGCTTGCTGGCTTTCTTGCTAGCCTCTGTTTGCAAGAAACATGCGGTAAACACAACCCGCCCTGTTTTGGCAGGCTGCCCAGCTGCCAGCCTCCCCCAATTCCTCCCCGTAGCTGTCCATGGCCTACAAGCGTCAGGGCATATGAGCCACCAAAACCAATGAAAGAAGACACCCCATACGAAAAGAGGAAGTACCAGCAAATTCCTCTGGATGTCCACCACCAAATAAATGAGCTTCAATTAGTCGAAGCGGCGCTTTTTCGCTGGTTGCCATCCGATCTAGAGAAAAAAGAAACCCCATGCCTGCAGCACGTTGTTTGGGCCCGGGTCGGCAGAGATCACTTTGGCCAGCAGGGCCAGCTCCTTGGTGGAGGTGTGGCGTTTCGTTCGGTAGAGCTGGTACCCGGGCCGGCTGGCGCAAAGGAAAAGGCAACCCAAAGCACGGCAAACCATTTGACTGTGACATGCATCCATTGTCCCTTAGCCAAGCAAATGAGCCATTTCCGAGGATGAAAGGTGCCTCTTGCCGCTATCTGAAGAGTGGGCAGTTCCCTTCCTTCAACCACCCGCTGCTTTGGGTTCTGATCGCTGAGGCCACTTGGTTCAAGCAAGCTGTGCTAAACACAGAAGCCTCTGAGACCGCGGCCTTTGCATAGGGCTGCGCCCTTGGGATCACAAATGCTGCGTGCAAAGGGAGCAGGTTGAACGGCCGTGCCAGCTGAAACACGCAAGCAGCTCCATAACTGATTGGAAAATCTGGGACTGAGCCCCTTGACATGATCCCTCTTGCGCAAGCAAGGGGGAAATGCATGGGGCGCGGGCTTCCTCCCCTCCCCATTCCACGCAGTACTTAGGAGAATTTAGGGAGACCTCAGGCAAGGGGGTGTCTCATTGACCAACGCAGCGCGGCATGCGTAAAGAAAGGGCAATCCGAGTCCAAAGCAGCCTTGAAATATGAAATTGGCTTTTAAGAGTACCCTTTCCAGGTTGGTTTGAAGGGCAAGCCAACATGTTGTTGGCCTTTTAGACAAACATCCAATTTTGACAAGTGGGAGGGAAGCTGAATCACTGAAGCCAAGTCGCTGGATGCTGTTGGCACTAGCCAGTAAGGATCGCGCAAGCGGTGGCAGGCCTTGCGCAGCTATGAAAGACCTCCCTGAACTCCCCGGTTGAAGGGCTGGGCATGGGTATCACAATGCGCCATGCCCTCCTCCCACGTGTTATTGGCGGCGGGTCCCCTCTTAGTGGGGATCTCTGTTTCCAGGACAATCCCTGATTGATCGGCAAGGTCATTGCTCAGGGGTCAACATTGAGTGCTTAGTACCTCCAGTAAGCCTGCAACTAGCCCCTGTAAGTGCTGAAAAACTATAATACAAGCATCTGGTCAAGACAGTGACGAACCATTCAGAGGTTCCCTCCCTTTGAGGGCGGGTCGAGACACATCAAACATCCGGCGCCTCTTCCCGGGAATGTGGCCAAAGGCCCGGAGACCAGCAAAGCGGAAGCCGCGGCGCGTGGCATTCCGCCAGCAACTGGGCGGACTGCGGGGTGCCCTCCAAAATTGGATGTAACCAAGTCCCCGATCAACTCAAGGATCACAAAGATGTGGGTGTGAGCTTTAACCCCTTTTGGTACTGCATTTTTCTGCGGGCCATGGGGACCCCCTTTGGAGAAGGTGATCCCTGTTGAAATTCACAGCCATCGTGTTTGCGAAGCCCAGATGCGCCGCCGCAGGATCTCCGTTTCCAGCTCCGGCAGGCCGTCTTGCTCGCAGCTCATGAGCAGTGCCTCGGTGTTTGCCGCGTTTTGGCGCCCCAGCTTTGTGAGACAGGCCGCGCCAAGGGGCGGTGACGCCAGGGCTAGGCCCAAGCGCCTTGGCTTGCAGCAGCCAGAGGGCCGCCGGCCAAGCGCCGTCCTGCCAATCTTGGTTTTCTGTTTCATTCACGCAGGGCAAGGCAAGTCCTGACAACACGCTGAGACAGCAAGGTCTTCGGCGTCTGCCTTGCAGTGAAACATGCATTCCCTTGATGCGCCCCCTTCTGGATAAGCCCTTCCACTCCATTTTTCTGCCAAGCATGCTGCAGACATCTACAGCACGTGTCCGTGATTCGGCGGCCGGCTCAGCAGGGCAGCGGGCCAAGCTGCCAGCGCTTCCTTGGCCGGGCCATCTTTGGGAAGCTCCAGCAGCTCCACCCGGGTGTCCGAAATCTGGGCGTCCAGGTGCTGGCGCGCCAGGCCGTGGCAGGAGAAGCTGCAGTCTTCCTGGGGCCGCAGCTCGCGCAGGCGCTCCAGAAAGGCCCGGCGGTTGGGCCGCCCGATGTCCGCCACCAGCACCGCGCTGCCGCGGGCCCGGGCCTCGGCCACGCGGACAGCCATGGCCTCAGCGGTGGCCTTGTCGTAGAGCACGTCCGAGGCGAGCACCAAATCCGCCGCGGGCAGCGGCTCCGCGCCCCGAAGGTCCAGGAGCTGCACGCGGAGCCGCTCCCAGCCCTGGCGTGACGCGCTCTCAGAGAGCAGCCGCAGGGGCAGCTCCCGGAAGTCTGTGGCGACCACGTGGGCGCCCAAAGATAATAGCGCCAGGCTGGCCAAACCGCAGCCACAACCCAACTCCAGAGCTGTCAGCTCGGACTTGGACTTCAAACCATATGCTGCCGCCGCCTGCCCAAGCACTTGGGCTGCCGGCCAGACCGCCATACCATAAGGGTCCGCCTCCACAGCAGCCTCGTCCTCCTGCTCCACCGCCTCCTCAATCAGATCCTCCTGCCAATCCAAGGACGCCTCCAGCACTTGGAACTGCACCTCGCTGCCTGCCAGGGCCACATCCACCTCCACAGCCTCTGAAAAGCTCCGCAGCCCACGCAGCCGGAGAAAGCGGGCCACAGCCCAGCCGGAGAACAGTCCAGCTAGCGCTCCTGGCGCGCCCTGCCGATGGCTCAGGGGCTGGCGATCCGGCGTCGAGTGGCAAGAGCGGACGGCCGGCGGCACGCGAAAGGCACAGCGCGGCAAGACGAACGCCATAATTACCCTGATGAACCCAACGAATACTTGGTTGGACAATGCTTGATGCAACCTGGTGTGAACTTGGAAGCCACCAGCCCTCTAGTTTGCTGACGCGCTCTCACTGCGCAAGATTCTGGCAATCAAGTTCCATGTCAGGTTCATGTCCCATGCCTGCACAGTCACTGTGCCACAATTCCAAAGAACCTATAGGCCCTTGAGCACTAAGCCCGCGGAAAACCGAGACCTGTTTCCTCTCAGTTGCCCAAAGGAATTTCGACTATAAAATAGAATGGGACACCAGGTCAGATCCGGTCGATTCGCTTTGGGCGACTGAAGCATTGAGAACAATTCCCAGGTACCCCACGCAGCTGACCCGGCCAAGTCGCTGAGTCCACCCTCAAGGAGCCCATGAGCTCCAGCAAAGCGACTGCCACAGGCCATCTATCCACTGCTGCCAGCGCCTCAGCACGCCGCCATGAGAAGCCCTATGGACAACCTCTTTCTGACTCAAGACAGCCCACACACAAGAAAGACAAGCAGCTCGCAAAAACAACCACCTCTCCCCTCCCCCCTGAACAGATTGGCATTATGCCGTGCCCCCGCGCTCCCATTCAAACTGCGTTTTGCTCAAGTCTTGCGGCGCTGGTGAAGGTGATGTGGTTCGGGCCCACGGACCTTCTCATCATATCCACGATCAGCGTCAGAGACAACACCCAGTCACTACCTCAAAGTCCACAGAATCAGTGCGACTGTACCCCGTTCTAACCTTCCAGGATTGATTCAAGGGACTATGCCTGAGTGGATCTGTGACAAATGGGTTGGTCGGCGCTCCGCTTTTGCTCGGGCGCCGGCATTTGCAGGCGACGGCGTTGAAGCTCGTCACATCCGGCTGCAAGTGGCCGCACACAGTGTGCAGAAGGTGCCTGGGAAAGACAAAGGTTTCAAGGAAATCCATTGCTCCTCACCATCTCCTGCCTATCCGCTCAATCTCTGAGTTCAACCGCGCGAAAAAAAGAAGGATGGCAGCTTGGGATTGCACCTCCAGGCGAAGATCCTCAACTGTCAGGCGAAAGATGGATGAGGATGGAGGAGAGTGGGCCAGGGACAGAGCTGGCAGGCAAGAGCCTAGGATGGACGAAGAGAAGAGAGAGTGAACGGAGAGACGAATCACCTCATCCTTTCCCAAAAGCCGCAGAAGGGAGCACCAGATGCCACAAACTCCTCTGGATGCTGTTCGTCTTTGGGGGTGAAAGGGCTGAAGCCACTGCTAGGGTTTCGTCCATTTCAACTGGTGGATGTTGTCCACCCACGGTATCCCGTCAAACCGGGCCCCATTTCATTTGAGAAGCACGGCCCACTGCCAGCGCCCCATGGCGGCGCATGCCGCCATAGCCGCGTTGAAGGCATAGGTGTCTGCCACCACTCGGGCCTTCAGCGTGGAAGTGGGGCTTCTCCAACATGCGGGAATCCTACTTTCAACCTTGTGGTTTTGGATGGTTTTGCTCCCCTTGAAAACAATCATTCCAGAGTACCAAGTCCAAACAGCCACAGTTTCACACAAGAGGCGTTTCCGGGAGGGAATTAAAGTCTCACTTCCTTGTTGCGAGTCTCAAGTCACAACTCTCCCTGTTGAAAAATGGGGATCTCTCTGCGTTCGACACATCGCCCCTTGAAGCCACCAGCCTCCTGCTTCGCACGCACCGTGCGCCAACCACGGCCAAGCCCCACCGACAGAAAACCGCCCAAACGCTTCAAACAGCTAAACCAGAGAACCAAAAACAACAAATTCTGGGGAAGAGCCCTGCTTTCTCCTGAGTTTCGCTAAACGCAAATCCACACTACAACTTGTCATTGTTTCAACCCCGCAAACTCGTCCCATACAGCTACTAAGCACCAGCAAACAGTAGGGGTCCCGCAAAAACCTGTTTTTGCGAGATTGTCGTTTTGAGTACGGCTTTGACGGTGTTTGTGCGGGACATTTGTGCGTTTACGGCTTTAAAGTGCGGGTTCTCTTCCTGCCAGAGCCTGGATGTTCGGAGAAAACAAAGGCACTGAACGAAAGCAGCTTGCTTGGTTCTGACCCCTCTTTTTCATGCTTTTTCCCGGCTTTCGTGGCCCCTGAGTGGCTTCCGGAGGCCGAGCAGCGGTGTTCATGAAGGCCAGCAGGCCCAGCGCAGCTTCCCATTGGCCCACCTATGAATCTAAGTAGGGCAACCCCCCCGTACCCCCCATTTTTTTTAAATAATGATATATATATATATATACATACATGGATGTTTTTTGGTTTCCCGTCAAAGGAAAGCCAAAAGGGCTTCCTCAACCCCCCCCCCCCCCACCTTGTCACAGGCGCTGATGGCAGTGCTGTAGCTCACCTGGATGGCGAGCGAAATGGGGCGGGGAGTTTTCAGGTGTTTCGTTGCGGGCACTCTTTCTCACCTCGGCTTCAAGGGCAACTCGCCGTTTGACGCATGCCACTTGCGCTCCGGCCGGCCTCATCTGCCAGCGATTGCGCACTCATTTGCCCAAGCAGCCACAAGGCTGACCGCCACTGACCAGCTTTGTCCTGACTCGCGTTGGCAGGGTGCTTCGGCCACCAGTTTACACATCTATCTATCTATCTAAGCTGCTGTTGTATGCATGTGTGAAACGCCTTGGTTTACGCATGGTTAAGCCACCGTCGGCACATCCTCACCTGGGATCCCCATTGGGTCGATTGCTGTGCTTCAATGCATTTGCAGCCCACTCTATTGAGACCTCCCCGAAAAAGCGCAACCCTCCAAGGAAAGAATAGGGGTGCCGGCACCCCCCACCCCGAGATTCTGTTGGTCCTACTAACATGGAAATGCACCTATTGGAAGCCAAGCAGCGCAGGCGCTCATCGCAGCATTGAAGCTCACAACGTCGCGCTTGCCTCCGAAGGACTCCGACCACAGGATGTGCAGCGCGAGCTGCCACTGCGCACCTCGCGACCAATTCCATGCAGGGATCACTGCGATTTTCTGAAAGGGTAGGCATTCAAGTGGGACAGGTCGCATCGCGCCAGCCCTGGCAAGCTGGGAGCCCGGCACTTCTGCAGCACACCCATGAGGCTGTTGAAGGATCTCACAGCCGCAGCTTTGATGGAGCCTGGCCATGCCCCAGCCTTGCCACCATTTTTCGTTGAGTATGGGTGACCTTATGACAGAAAATAGGTGGCAGTTCATGGAAGAAGGCCCCAGAACACACTACACCATCCTTGGTACCTCACAGGTACCCTTCTGCAGGTGCCTTGGGGGCCTAAAACCCCTTTGGCGCATGGAGTTGAAGCATCCAGGTGTCACAAGTTCCAAGGGGCCATAATCAGAATGTCCGGTCATGGTCATGGCTTCCATGCTGGCGCTTGCTGGTGGTCTAAGTGTCTACCAAGAGGTGGATAACCATCTCCACCAGCACTAAGTACAAGCCTGTTTAGAGTCTATAGACTTGGGCAAGGGGCTGAAGATCGCTAACGCGGACTCCCAGCTGTCACAGGCCGTGATCGCGGTGTTGTAGCCTGGAGCGGCTCCAGATTGGAAACCGCTCAAATGGAACCTCAAAAAAGGGTGGTGTCATTTTGCCCCAAACAAGTACACCCAGCTGTGGCTCTGGCTGATGGCAGTGGGAATCAGATTCTGCGCCGGCATGCCGCTCAAGATGCCAAGTGCATGCTGCCAATGACTCGCCTTCCTGAGCAACTGGCAACCAAAAAACAATGGCCGCACAACCGCGCGGGTTCAAAGCATATGCCCAAAACCAGGCACGAGAGGCGAGCAAGCCAGCATGGCGGTGTTCATGGTGATGACATCCCGCGGGACACTCGCCTTGTCCATGGAAGAAAACAGCGCCAGCGCGTGCTGCCAGCGGCCAGACTTGTGGCACACGTCCATGGCCGTGTTGTAGGAAATGACGTCGGGAGGAACTTCGGCCATCTCCATCCTCAAGGTCACGAATCTTGATTTGACACATTCTCAAGCCTGATGGCTCTCTAGGAGTGTTGCCTCCCCGCCCCCCACAAGCCAACAATCGCCCAGATCCGACCCAATGCATTCGAATGCTTGCGCCGCTGCCCAAAAAGCATTGCACTTGAGGCCAAACCAAGCCACAAGATCCTAACGCGTGGCGTGCCCGTTTCCATCAACCAGCATCCGAATATATTTGGGGTCCTTCTTTTTCCTTTTTTGGGACGGGTCAACGTATGCCACCCAGAATGAACATAAGAATTCACGTTCCCTGAAATTGCGTGGCTCATCCTCCGCCCCAAATAGGGTTCAACACGACATGTGTTCCTCCCAGAAAAAGTTTTCTCATCTCATCCCCCATCCCAACTATCATCATCACCCCAGCTACATCACCCCCATCTCAACTGGAACAACTTTTCTGGTGAAATTGTGTTGGATCCTACCAGCCCGAAGTAACCCTATAATTGCCCTATGGTTCTCGTTCACGCACCCCCCGTTTTACCCGCCCGCCGAATTTCCGCAAACTTCTTAGGTGGCTGGGGATCCGTGAAGTGACGAAACGAGTGGCAACCCTACAGGGTTTGCAGGGCTTAAGTGTATGTCTTGGGGAAAGCTAGTTCTTCCCGGGCGGCGGCAAATATGTGACATTGCAACATTCCTGAGCCCAAAGAAACCCTTTAACCAAAACGGCAATGCCAAAGCCATCTAAAAAGCGGAAATAGACCCCCTGGACCCAAACCCATGTTTTTGCCCACCCTAGTTGGACCTACACTCACAGCGAATCCGGGGGCTATCATCGCCAAACGCCACCCGCTCACACACACAGACAAAACAGATCAATGTACCAGTGAGGAGGATGAACCTGGGGATCCGTTTTCAAAGAAAACCACAAACATAGAACGCGAAAGGGCCCCTTATAGAGGAACATGCTCCCCTTTCAAGGTTCCTTGATTGTTTTAGGGCAAGTGGGGAGCCACCCCTGGTGGAATAGTGGTTGGTTGATATTTGATGGGAAACCACCAAGAACACGCACACATTTTGGGGACCACCATTTTAAGAAATACCAAATTGTTGGTGATTCGTGAATTTGGGAATTGGACCTTGGTTCTTGTGATCGGCTAAGCTGTTAGCAAGCCTCAATTAGCCCGCAGTCAACGGTTTCCTTCACACCACAATTCTTGAGTGATAGATTGAGGCTGCGACTTGGATGCATCAGCCACAAGGAGGACCGGTGAAAACAAGAGAAAGCGCTTAAGGACGTTTAAGGGCCTGACTGGAAGTTTGTCAGGTTTGGCTTGGTAGCAAACAACTTTCATGCTCGCAGCCCCCCACAAACAGTGCACAGTACCAACATACTACTCATTTGCCAAAAAACAACTCAGAATAAAAGGTTACTCTTTTGGGGCCATGACTAAAAACGGACACCAAAAAGTCAAAAGGTCGATTCGCTTGGGACTACTGAGACCGACAAACAACTAAACGCACATGCACAGAACAGTACTCTAGGGGTCGATTCCCCCTTCTTTTCAACCATCGTTCTTTTCAATAACCAGCTGTTTCCCCAGGGTTTTTTGGTGGCTTTCTGGAAAGAAGGATCCCTGGAAAGAATGGGGAAGCTGCCCCTAGAAGTTCGGCAGGAGTACCTGACGCTAGCACTGCCCAACCACCCCGTCCGAGGCGCTCCCGTAGCACATGCAGCGAAAGCTGCCAAACCCCCCCGGTCCCGCAGGCTGCGCACACCGTGTTGAAGCTCACTGCGTCTGGGGTCACGGCTTCCTGCACGCCCATTCCAAGAGAATGTTGAAACAACAAAACACGCAAGCAAGAAAGCAAACAAACAATCAAGCAAAAAGAAAACACACAAACAAACCAAACCCAAAACAAACAACAAAAACAAGCAAACTAAAAGGCAAACAAACAAGAACACAAGCAAACAACCAAGCAAACCAAACAATTGGTAGCAAGCCTGGCTGCCTGGTGTATTTGATTATGTTGGTTTCCACCTCGTGTTATCCCCGAGGCCGCCTGGCGCATGGAGGACAGCAACATCAGCGCCTGAGGCCATGCGTCCACGGCATGTAGGGCCTCAAAGGCTGGCTACCCCCATTCGCAGGACTCCATGTAGGTAAAAATTGTGCGCATTTATCCCCCAACTGCCCAAACTTGGTGCAAGCTGAAAGCATGTAAGAAAGGAGAACGACATGAAGTATGTGGGAAATGCAGTGGATGACACCGCTTTAGATTGACCAACTGATTCCCAAGGACACTCAGAGTATGGAACATATGCCTGACATCCATACGCCAGGCTCCTGGCCCCGTTGTAGGTGACCACGTTGGGGAGAACCTGGCTGCTTAACCGCATTTCCCTGATGCATTTTGTGTGCGCTCCTGATTGATAAACAGAAAGGACACCACTCATTTTGAGGGTTGGTTTCCAGTTGGCCTCCCTTTTAACGTCAAACCAAACGGGGGTCTCCTGTTTTTGTTGCCTTTCGGCTTTTCGACGCACATCCAGTCTTACCACGCGCAGGTCCTCGTCGCGGATCATGGCCTGCAAAAGGTTCACAGCGAGTGGCCAATGTCCCTCGCAGGAGCTCACAGCAGCGCCTCAATTGGCCAGGGTCCATTGTAGCACCCTCCGGCCAGGTGCACACACCTCCTTCTCAGTTTGCCCAAAAGACACAAAAATAAAAAGCCCAGAAAGGACCCAAACATAAATAAGAAGGTTAGCAGGACCAAAAATGGAAAGTACAAAAGGGGGAACTAACTGGTCAAAAGGTCGATTCGCGTTGGGCAAGTGAGCCTGCGCACGACGTTCCTTTTGAAGGGGGTTCGTGCTGCTTTGCTGACATCCCCAAGCCAAAACCTAAGGGGTACCATGGTACCGCTGGCTGTTGAATTCAACAGCCCTAGGTGGGTGGATTCAACAGAAAACCACCGCCAAACACAATTTTGAGAACCCCTAGAATTCCACCTCCCTTAGAAGGTCAGAGTTGGCCAAGCGAGTTACAAAGGTCTGGGCCCCATGACTAACTCTGCACATGCTTTCAGACAGGGTTCCTCCTGGTCCCACACCACCAAACACGAGCAATCGCAGTTTGTATGCGGGGAGAGCACCAGGTTTCTACACAAATTACTCAAAACTCAGCTGGAGAGAAGGAAAAACAACAAGGAAAGTTCCTCCATTCATGGGAATAACTGTGGTGCCACCACTGCAAACCAGCGGGTTTGAGTTTGAATCGAGAACCTTTTGGATATCATCCACCTTGTTGGATGCATGTCCACCAGCCATCTTTGAAGGCCAAATGAAAGTGCAATCACAACCTGGTCTCAGTTCCTGAGTGGATTGCCACAAAGCGTAACGTGGTCTTCCCAAAAGCTTAAAGTCCAGAACCTCGGGAAGTGAGGGGTATTTGTCCAAAACACCCGGCAAGGGAACTGTCGACAAATCGTCCATTGAACCGAGGCGCTGCAAGCGATCACGTTGGGATTCACTCGCAAAGCCCGCATGGTGGCCAGCAAGTGTATGGCTGTCTGCCAATCTTTTGCCTTCTCGCAGGCACCTGTTTTGTTCGGGTGCGCCACCCAGGCCTAGCAACCCTACACCTATGTCTATGTTGCATTTCTTTGTTTCGCTCTATGTGTGCTCTTGCTGTATCTATAAAGTTCTATTTATCCACCTATCTGCCCATATGCGCACATGTGAACATGATAATGCACAGAGGTGTGTATATATATATATATTTGATGTACATTCACCGGTATGTATCATAAACAAGCAAAAGCAACAACACTAAAGCCATTATCCATCAGTCTGCTGGTTTGGGACCATGGGCGTTGCACCCAGGTAACTTGGCCGAGGGCACTGATGGCTGCGCCGAAGTGGTAGACGTTGGTTTCCTCAGGCACGAAAAAAATGGAAATATTCAATTCGCACCAGCTGGGATGGACAAGAACCTGTAATTACTGGGGAATCCACCACTCCCAATTGGTGTGAAGTGGACTTTGTCCATGCACAATATGTGGGAAACTCATGGGCGTCAGCGCCTACTCCGTACATTAACAAAGTGGATGCGAACCTGTGTTTAAACTTGAATGCGTAGCCATACATGTTGAAGACGTACCCAAGAAATGCAGCCAAAGACATGTACCGGCAACATGCCCACGCGTGAGTAGATGCAAACCCATCAGCCAGGCTCATCTGTGCAGCTGGCCAGTGAGGCCAACCACTGAACCAAGACGATTTCTGCCACGAAGGACCCATGTCGCCAGGGATGAGTCCGAATCAGCATGCTGGGCTCAACCACATGCAAAGACTGGGCTGTGCAGAGTGGAACACCCAAGACTGCGGGAGGGTTCACCAAGAAATCCCTCCCGCAACGCAACGACCGATTTTTTGGGCTCAACCGCCTGAAGCACAAGTTCAGTCAACGGCTCATGGCCAGCTTCTACAGTTTTTGCGCCGGGTTGCTTTCGAAGCATTTGCAAAAGGAAGCCAAACATTTTCGGGCGGGCCCCCGAAAAGGGACTCTAATCCCATGTTTTACAATGGCTTTGTGGTTGAGTATGGTTGGTTTACTTGCCATTCGGGCATTTACCCTACGGTAAGTGGCAACCTAAAACCCAACATCCACCGTCCTTGGCCAAAAGGCTCCACGGTTCTACACCATGCCTGCAGGGCAACCAACTCCGCGTTCAGCCCATTTGGTGGTCTGGTTTCTGAATTTTCAAGCCCAAAAACAACCAACTCCACCGCTTCTTTGAACCGTCCAGGTACTTCCCTCCCCTTCTCCTCTTTTATTTGCTTTTTTCCCACCCGGCAAAATTGGAAATATACATCCAGTAGAGTAGAGTCATTTCAGAACGAACAGGGGTTCCAATAAGAACCAAGAGAAACAAAACGACCCAGCACTTTCGGTATTTTCCAGGTCCTTCCAGCCGCCCCCCCGCTTCTGGGCCCCAAACCCCGCCCTTTGCTCCTGACACCAAGGCCTCCGAGGGATCCGAGGCCCCCAGCCACGGCGGCTCCGGCCATGCGCCGCAGCAGTTTCGAGGCCTCGGCGCTGCGCCGCTGCCGCGCCAGGTGCCCCAGGACCGCCGTGGCCAAACGCGGGGCATGGCGCCACTCCTGAGGCCGCGGGGGGTTGGGGGGTTGAGGGGGTGGGGGTGGGTGGGGGTGGGTGGGGGTGGGTGGGGGTGGGTGGGGGTGGGTGGGGGTGGGTGGGGGTGGGTGGGGGTGGGTGGGGGTGGGTGGGGGTGGGTTCAGATTTCCTCTTGAAACATCGCGCCAAAGGAAGACTCACTTCGAGTTCGCACGAAAGGTGATGTTCAACACTACACCCCCCCCCCAAAAAAAAAAAGAAAAGCGGGGGAAGCGTGAGGGGTAAGAGGTGTCAGTTGAGGTCGATTCTCTTCGGTTGCAAGAAAGGGCTTGACAACTAAGAAAGTGATGTTTAGATTCTGACCGCACTTCAAGCTCAAAATGTGAACTGGATGGTGTTTAGGGCGTTTAGAGCTTGCAAAAACCACCCAATGTTTAGCACAGACAACGTTCAAACGGATCCACCTGATTAGGACCCCCCAATTAAGTCCCTGTCAAAGGCGCAATCTCTGGTCCTTTGGTTGTCACCGTCACCCCCAATACAGTAAGCCCTACTTTTACTCAGCAAAAAAGCAGGAATAGTTCGCGAAGAGGGGGTCGGCATGGGTGAATGCTTAGATGGAAGAAATCGCTGGCCAGCACCCTAGGTACAAGTGTTGACATGGGGTTGACTGCGGTCGGGTGTATATGGCACAATTCCCGGTCCATGTTGGTTTCATCATCCCCTTTGCGGTTCCACATGATTCCACATCACTCAAAGGAGAGGGAAACACAGTTTTGTCAACAACGGGGGAACCCGGGACCTTAAAAGGAACGAACCCCTCCGTGACTGCGACCTCTCCCTTAACCTTGGGGCTAGCGCGGTGCAACGCGCTGTTTTCAGCACTTGAGCCAAAGCAGTGATTGGATCATGCTCTGGCATTGACTTGAATGTACAACATGCAACTGACTACATGAGAACCTACCTCATGTACCTCTGGGCCATAAATGTCATCGTGATAATTGACTCCCCCCTCATTGACGGCACTGAGGGAGTGTCTTGGGCGCATTACCACGCCAACTTGAAGTCAAGTTTACATCACAACGACTGACACAAGTTATTCAAGCATCACCCAGGCACTTTGCACACTTTGGGAAATTTTGCGGACATGCTGCAGCGCACTAGGCAGCTGCTTTAGCGGCTCTACTTTCACGAACGTCTTCAAGCTTCTCTGGAAGGTCAACACGAATGCCGAGCAACCGGATGGCATGGTCCCACTTGTTGGGTGGAAGTGCTTTCGTGAAGATGTCCGCTGACTGCATGTCGGTTTGGACGTATTCTATCGAGATGTGTTCGCTTTCAAGCTGCTCTGCGATGCACGCGAGGTTCACCTTGTGTGTTCGCTGGACACAGCGTAGCTTGGATGAGAAACCTTTCCTTGCTACGAGGATAGTCGCCTGGTTGTCCTCGTGGATCTTGAGATGGAATGGTCGGTCCAAGATCAGCTCCCACAAGCTTAGCGCAGGGAGCGCTTCCTGATAAAGGGAGTATGCGAGAGATACAATCTCCGCCTCGGTCGTTGATCGGGAGACCGATGTCTGCCTTTTGGATACCCACGCAAGCGGAAAATGCGTGTGCGGACCACTCAAAATCAAGAATCCTCCGGACGTGGATTTTGCATCTCGCTCTCCGGCGAAATCGGCGTCCACATAAAGGGACAGATGCAAATCCTCAGTCGAATCTTGGACTGTGCCTACTAGCGTGCTGTTGACCGTGCTGTTTATGTAGCAAACAAGCCTATGTAGCTGCTTATCGCAGTTTCTAGACCATTTTTGAACAAATGAGGCAAGGTCGCCAATGGGCTTGACCAGGTCTGGGCGTGCCAAACGGCCGAGCCATAAGGCTTTCATCAACACGCGGCAAGCGGCGAAGCCGAGCTCACCCTCCAAGGCGTCATCTGCAGGATCGAGGGATCCAGCGGGACAGAATGGAGTGGTGGCATCACGCAACTTTTCACTTTTTAGCTGTGCAACCTCAAGATATAATGCCACCGTTTGACGGGCATAATCCCGCATGTCGAACGCCATGCCCCCTTTCAATCTGCCCATTGCGGCATTAAGATCGGGTTCAGTTGGGTCCTTTGGAGCATCTATCAAAAGGTGATTCCTGCCTAGCACCCGGTATATGTCTTCTGGGGGTTCTATATCAACCAGTCTTGTTAACTTTTCCCAGAAGTCTTTATGAAGGTGGCTGGGGCCGGCCAACGTCAAGTCGTCGACGTATGTCGAGAGAAGTAACCCGGACTCCTTGAACCAGAAGTTTCCAGGAAACTCTGCGACCTCACGCCCTCCAAGTTCACTAATGAACCCTTTGAGGTGTGCCTCCCAGAGTCCGCCAGCGTCAGGATGCCCATAAAGAGCTTTAACGAGCAAAACCACAGGTTTCACGAAACGCTCGCGCCACCACCTTGGCCGGAGCTCAGGCGGGAGTGTGATCCAAGTTTGGTACTTGGACTTCAGCAGTGCTTGCACATAAGCCTTTATAGCGTCCGCTGTTGTGGTGGAATTCCCTGGCAGGGATCCATAAGCGAGACAGTTATTAAGACCTTGTACGCTCGTGGGATTTGCTCCCAACTCTTGGTAGACAGCTGCTGCGCCATGTTCATCTTTCGCACAGTCTCCGCGATACACAATCCTACCTTTCATCTTCTGAAGGTGTTTCGCGAGTTCGGCGAACTTGACGGATGCTAGCGACATCAACTGCCCGAAATGGACTTTTATACTGGATCGTCGCGCCTCAGCAGCGACTTGATCATACTCTCGGACTGAATTTAGATCCCAAGCACCGGCTTTCTCCAGGCCTGTGGCTTCAAGTCGAACGGCTTCAAGAGCTTCCGGGGAAGCCAACATTTCGGCACGTGACAAGAGTCTGGTCACCATTGCGGTGATCTCAGGATCCTTCTTCTCTGTGACTTGTCCTAGGGAATGTGCGATGAGATTTTCAACATCAAGAACTTGCTCAAGAATGTTGTGACACTTTTCATCTGACTCAACAGCAACACCTATATCTTCCAAACCAGAGAGAGGGGATATGTGCTTCAACTGCTGTTCACGTTCCCGGTGATCGAGAGGCAATGGCACTTGAACAGGCATCGCAGGCACGGCGGGTTGAACTGTCGGATACAGCGCACGGGCAACTGTGAGACACATGCCTTCGGGGTAGAAAGCGGTCTTTGCGGTCTTGTTACCTGCTGCAAGCGAATGCTTATACCCTTTTTCGTGCGGACACTTGAATGCACCTAGTGCGGATGCGAGTGTGCTATTGCTGGTCATGACTTTCCATGGCTTTTTGATGGGATAGCCATTGCTGTCCTTCAGGCCTAGGGCGCAACCATGGAAGGTCGCTGGGGTGAAAGCGTGTGCATATTCTCTAAAGAATGCAGAAACATCATCCCTAGCCCAGCTGTCGCAATCCCTTGGCCATTCAAACGAAACACTACCCCCCTGATGGAGGACAGTCTCTGCGTGACGTCTGAATCTGGAGAACAACTCTCTCGACTCTTTAACCTTTTGCTTCAGTTTCTTTTTGAACTGGCTTCCTAACTTGGCCTTATTAAGGCGTTGCCATGCTGAACCTGATGTACAGGGAATTGCGGCCCAGAGATTGGGTTTATCACAACCTTCAATCTGCGACTGCAACTGGATTTCTCCTTCATCTGTGCTAAGGTCGATAAACTCTTTAGCCAGCCTAACATGAGGTATGCCAAGACCTTCAAACACGCGACCCATGTTGGACTCTGGTGAACATGCGTATTCGAACATCACAGGCAACTTGTCAATACGTGCCTGTTTCTTGCGGGCACGATGATTTCCAACCTCAAACTGCTTGCGCTGTGGAGCTTCAACCTCTGCGCTGCATGGCATGCCAAAAATTGGCAATGTGTTCGGACGACCGTTCTTTGACGCATCGGTGAGAGGTGTCGGCGGTACGGAGTCTAACATCACGGCTGCACCTGTGGTGATAACACAATCGGACTGAATGGGTTTTAACTTGAACACTGTGAACCCGGTCCATGCATCTCCAAGTGAGCGATTGGGTCGGCTACCAAACCAACCATCATGGATGTTGTCTGCTTTGCCCCCCTGAAACACGGCACGAGTGGTGCGAGCTGCAGTAAATCTTTCTGGGGAAACGGGGCAATCCTCGACCTCTTTTGGGGTAAAGAGATTTTGCCTTGGCATGATATGGTATCGGACCAAACAGTTGGCATTTTCTTTGAACACCCAAAAATCTTCACCTTGCGATGTAGCGGCTGTCGCTGGCGCGGTATCGAAAAATGAGCCGCCGGGTCTTGAGGGAGCGGGCTCCCCAGCTTCGGCTGCATCAAATTCATGCGCAACATCTTCTGCACTAACTGCGGGCTTAGGATCCTCTCCATGCTCGGATGCGTGGATTGCTCTAGCTAGCTCCTCATCCCCTTCAGTATGAACAATGGGAATGGGTTCCTTAGATTCAGTTTTGGCAGCGCTTTTTGCAGCTGCTTCAGCTCGATCTGCAGAAACAAGTTCGGAGAACCTCTTCTTGCATTCGGCACTGTGAATCTTGGAATGACCGGTGCATGCACGGCAACCTGGCGTTTCCTTGAACTTGATGATCCTCTCAACAGTTATGTACACGGATTTTGACTTGACAGCGGATGGAGTCGGTGGGGCACCGAAGGGCGCCTCTCGCAGGGGCATGGGTGGGGGGTCAGACCCCTCTGTCTTGCCTCCATGCAATGCTCTATCTGCTGCTGCTGCAATCGGAAAGCTTGGGGGTCCGTCTTCAACGAACAATTCCGGTTCAGGAACATCGTGAACGGAAATGGAACCATCTTTGCGGAAGGCTTCATAGTCCATGACTTTGACCACGTTACGGTACCGCAACCCCGGATCGACCCTCCAACCCAAAAAGAGCGCAGGCGCCATGTTCGGATCGAGAGTGAGCTTGCCAGGAGTCTTGGTCCTGTACCAAACCAATTGCCCGAAACAGCATCTCTTACCTTGGA